CACTTACTACACCTACTCTTAAACTGGTCAATTATCCTAAATTCTATTCCTGTGCTTGGGTGCCTGACAGTTGCTGTAAAATTCCAATCAACTAGTGTGCAAGCTGAATTCTACATTGTAAAGAAAAGAACCGCTAAACTGGGCAGGGATCTATTTCCTTATTATAAGTGGATCATCTGATCACAACAGCTCCAGATGCTCCTATGCTACCCGTGTCCAAAGTTTTACCACTCATTGACACCTCACTGGGTTGTGCAAAGAACTCAGTATACAATATAAAATTAATCAGTGTCAGGTTTCTACCCTGACTTTACTGGTTTGCAGCATTCTGGCTTGGCTGCCATTTTACTCACCTGTGTTTCCTTCTCTGCCTAAGCAAACTCTGGAACGTTGCTCACTACTCCCAGGCTCCCTCTTATGGCCAGACAGGAGAGCATCATCTGAGAGAGTCAGATGGGAGTTTCTTGTCTCTGAGTGATGATGTCACCCCACTCACTATATATAAACCACTTAGTCCAGTCTAAAGTTGCCCTTGCGTTGTCTTCCTGCTAGTCCATTTCTGCTGCTCTTATTATCCTTATTCTGTGTATGACCTGATCCTGGCTGATGTTCCCCTCTGGCTCCTGCTCCTGGCTTGTTCTTGACAACGCTGATTTCCTGGCTCCTGCTCCTGGCTTGTTCCTGACGTCGCTGATCTCTGTGTTCCTGACCTGGCTTGAATGACTACCCACTCCGGCTCCTGACTTTGGCTTCTTCCGGTTTATGATTCGGCTTGCTCCTGTGGACACTGTTCTTAATAAATGTTTTACCTAGCACCTTTTGCTTGTCTGGTTTTCATTGTGCTCTGACAATCAAATGTGAAACTAGTATGACAGAAAATGGAGACACCTCCCTCCTCTGTAAAAAAATAAATAATAAAAAAAAGCTGTTGCCCAAGAACTTAAAGGCATAGTCCACCTTTAAAAATTAAATAAATATAAATGTGCATTTATTATTTTTTTCTGCATTGGAGTCTTCAAAGCATTGCAACCACGATCATTGAAGGCTTTTTGCTGTCTCTCAGTGTGAAAGGTAACTTTTAAAGCAGAGAATAATGTGACAAGAGGCTGCAGCCCTAACCAGAAACACATATTAAAGCTTGGTTAAAACAGCTGGAATGTATTCCATAAATCTCAGATTAAGGTATATTGACTAAACGGAAAGAAAGGGAGGGAAGGAGCACAACTAACTAGCGCAGACTTTGTGGAGGTGGATAGACCAGGGAATAACAGTGAATCAGGTGAAAGTGGGTGGGAATGAGAAATGGGCACTCACGTGTGATGAGATGGATGGGCACACAGGTGATGAACTCCTGGTGATGTCGTGATGAGTTCACCCGTGTGCCCATTCATCTTATCACAAAGTCTGCGCCAGTTAGTTGCGCTCCTTCCCTCCCTTTCTTTCCGTTCAGTATTACACAGTTAGACACTAATAACGCAAGGAGCTGCCCATCGGCCACGACACACCAAACCCCCCCCCCCAGGAGTGCGCTAACAATCAGTCTTCTTTTTCCAACTTTCCGGGATATTGACTAGACTATCTGGCACTAGCAGTGATTCCTAAATGGCATTAGCAATTCAATTGTTACCTGCAGTTACTCTGTAACCTGGCATTGCTAATGCATGCTACAGTTCTGACAAATGTACCATCAACTCAGTTTGTACTTCAGCTGGCATTCTTTTCCACCAACACTTAACTCCTGAGAATGATCTTCAATTAAAAAAAATCAGTGTGCTAAGACACATTACATCGTCCATCTGACCTTGTTCTGAATGCAGTTACATAATACCATTCCTTTAATAATAAAAAAAAAAGTTCTAACAGTAATCAATAGTTATGATCTGATACAAGAAACTGTAAGTTACCTGAAATAGAATTTATCATAAATGTTATCACAAACTAATCATATGCGAAAGGTATAGAAAGTCCAAGGTTAATGAGATATGACATTATGTACGCAAGTTGATAAAATGTCTGACTTCATTAAAAAGCATCAGGTCTGTAAAAATATTAAAAGTTCAGTTTGGGTAGAAGAAAAGTCTTCAGACCAAAACTGTACTTGAAATCAAGATTCAACATCCTTGAAATCTAGTAATGTTGGCAGGGTTCTGGCTTCTGTGATTTGCGCGTGCAGTTTAAACCTAATTCTGCACCATTTTATCAAGGAAACATCGCCTCCTGTATTGCTGATCATCTGACTTCAAAACAGCAGTGTCATCTGGTGCTTTCCCGAGGGTCCAGGAAGCTGTAGTGAATGCATACTCTCTTTTCCTTTGCAGTGGCTACCCCATCAACCTCTTTGAGCTAGATTACATCCATCTTTCTTACAAACAATGCATGTGTGTTACCTGTAGTGAAAGAAATATATAATTTTAAAATAAGTAGGCTCTGGGGCTAGATAGCAGGTCACCTGTCCCAGTGCTGATCTCTGACACGTTTGTTCCAGGTCAGTGGCTCAGGCTCACTATGTATTGCTGCCTGCACACTTCCATAGGACTCGCTACTGCTAAGCAGAGAAATTTGTCATATTTTTCTATTAAATAGCAAAACAGCCGTGTGCGCCAGTTTGTTGACTTGCCTGTTTTTTCTTTTAGCCTCTCCACCAGCTAGTGTGGCCACCTGGTATCGCAAATGGAGAGCTAGTGTAGATCTGTCCCTCAGCATTGACAACCTTAAGGGCATAAACGTCTGCAGGGAGCTTACATGCTTGCTGTCAGTAGATACAAGCCAGATTTGGTTAATTAGGGTACTCAGCACAGAACTATGACAACTGACATTATATGAATGTAAAAAAAAAAGTAAAAAACTATATAACAAAGCTGTTCATATAATTCATATTTAGGTGTGTTACTGTAGCTGTACATGTACTATTCCACACCTTATGTTTGCAGATTATTTCAACAGACTGACAGCAAAGTTACGCCATTCTGAAAAGTTTAGGTTTTTTGCTGCTGACCCACCTCCTTGTTAGTGATACTTCCTTCTCCTACTGTATTTCACCAGGGCAGGACATGAGGGCAAAACTCAACAAGGACACTGCAATAAATTAAATAAAAAGATACTAACCCTTCCTCACTCCACAAACAAAAGAACAATTGTCTGGAGTTCTGCTGTAAATATAGATTTTGAGTTTAGTGTGACCCCCATCTACTGCAGGCTTGAACTAATTGTTCTGCGGAAGATGCTCTTACTTCCCGTGACTGCCTTGATGTAAATATCCATGGATTTCAATTCAACGTCAACAAAAGGCATATGCTCCAGGCTATTTTAGTATGGAAGCTCTGCAGACCAGCGTTTAAGGAAACCCTCGTCAAAAGAGTATTGCTAAGCAAACTGCATGGGAGGAGTAAACTATTTTTCAAGGTGATCCCAGTAACCATAAAAACACCAGATGTAAAACCAAGTATATAAGAAAGATTTTACCAGGTTTGGACATTTTTAAAGAACCCAGACTCGTGACCTTGGACAAAACAAACACAGGTGGCACTAACTGTAAACAAGTATGCACCATGTCCGCAAGGCAAGAAATCGTGTCCTAGAGATTAGTAGAGATGTCAGAAGACAGGTCCTCTTCCGCGCCTGAGTCCACTGAGCTGGAAGCAGCTTGGCTATGTAGCCTGTTCTCGACTGTGTGGCTCCAGAGCCTGCCTCCCAAACTTTCCCAAATCTATAATTCGCCGTTGTTCTGAGAATTAACCCCAGGTTCTCACAACTGCAGAGGCAAGAAGGTGCCTTATGTCCAGACACTGCAGAGGCTGTGCAGTTGCAGAAATACCCACCTATAGAAGCCCAAAATGGAGCCAATTTTGAAAAAGGGGGGCAGCAGTCCTGCCCACAAACTCCAAGGACCGGGGCGGTTACACTGGGTGCCTTGCAGGGACTTGGTCCTGGAGTACGTGTACCCTAGTGTGGCTGTGTTCAGAGGGAAGCCACTGTCATTTAAAGGGGACATGCCTCATCCAATCTTTGCCCTCCCAGTGGGCCTCAAAGGGGGTGTTTAAGGATATGGCTCCACCTTGATGGACCATGATCCTAGACCTGTATAGCACCTTGAGATGACTGCATGTGCTGCAAGTGCCAAAGAGAATCCTCCACAAAGGATCCAGTGCCCTAAACACATTACAGGCTTTCCCCACATCCTCTTCCTGTTCGTGTCTAGGTAGGTCTCCCCCTCCAAACACAACCGAGGAGAAAATCATTTCAGATGGCTGCTGAGAAGTCCTGCAGTGGCTGTGAACAGCTTAAGGAAAACTTGCTAGGAGAATATGGAGCAGAAAGAGAAGGCATCTACCACCCAAGAACACTAGACAGACTGGCAGTGGGATGGGTTATATAGGGCTGTGCTCACAGCTTTGATTTGCCAGTGTTCAATCACCTGAAGGCAGCTGCATAACTCAGTGGTGTCCTGTGATATACCATCAAGAAGTTATATTTGGAAAGAGATGGGGAAGAGTTTTTTTCAAAAAGAATGTATAAGACGGTAGCAATTTAGAGACATCACTAAAAGCAGCAGCCAGTTTATTGCATCTTGCCATACAGTTTGCAGTCTTACAGTATCAGGTTTAAAAACTGACAAATACACACCTATGCATTTGCATGAAATAGCAAAATAACATTTTATTGTTTAACAAATTTTGACTGACATACATTGATTATACATTAAGATTTTTCTCAAACACATTTTCTGCTCATTTCCTTTAAAAAGCCCTGAATTTCACTGATTTGTATTTGATTTTTGCTTGAAGACAATGAGCCAGCTGGCGGCTGTAAGTCCAGTAGGATAAGATGGGAAATAGGAAATTAACCAACACTGTTTGAAAATCTGTTTAAATATAGAAACAGACGAATATAGACAATAGACAAAGAAAGACGACTCAGGAGGCAGGAAATTTATGCTGGAAGCAAAGTAAGGAAATTCTGCACAGTTCTTTTATAAAAGGTAGATTTGTTGGTTATTTTCAAAAGGCACTGCATCTTTATTAAAGGCCATCTGAAAGTTAGCAATGGCAGCAGCTTGGTTTAGGAGTGCATTCTGGGTTACAGCATGGCCTTAGTGATGGATCCTTGCCTTTGTTGGTTTCACTTGGTGCATAATTCATATTCGTATGGAATCTGTCACGCTCGCTCAGGATTTCTGCCAAAATAGGTTCCAGGTCCTTGGGAATGAACGGCTTTAACAAATTGTAGTTCTCTGCAGGATCCATATCAAGATCAAACAGGAGAGGTGGGTTATGTGCAGTCAACAGTGCTGTTATGTGGCAGTCTGGATCTGGAGTTGTCTCACTATGAAATGCTCCTTTTGGAACACATTAAAAACAACAAAATTACTTTAAATAAAATAAGGTAGTGTGTGTGTGTGGAATATTCACAAAAGTTAGATCTAATTTGGTAGTGACATTACTAGCACCAGATTTTTGTTTTTGTAAACATTTTAAAATGCCAACTATGTTTTTCATACCAGTGCATTTTGTAATGCTTAAAAAGATAATGTCATCTTTTTCAGAAAAATAATAAATGCACACTTCTGCATAAAAGAAAATATGCATTTTATTTTTTTTTGCATATGAGCCAGTAAAGAATTGTAAGAGGACGTGTCAATGGACTACAAGTGTGGTGATGTCATCGGACCTGTATTCCATTGAAACTAAAAGTCCCTCTGCTGCGGTTGCTGATGGGACTCTGTAGTTTCTTCAGTCACAGATCCTGTCAAAGGCTGGTTTCAAACAACAGCAGCAGCCTGCGGGGAGAAGAACCCCGCAATTCAGCAAGTTGGGGGGTGTCTGCGATCTTACCAGGTTTCATGTTTTAACCCTAAATATGAATAATCAGCAGAAATATCCCCTGCACACCATACAGCACTTAGGACCTTTAATGCTATGGGATAGCAATGGTGCTTGCAGTGATGTCCACAGATGGCACCGTGCAAATGCAGGGATGATAGTAATGAAGATCACCAGCACTGGCTATTTGATACATGTGACGTTATTCTACAATAAAAAGAACTTCTGGATTTCTTCCATTTGTGATCTTTTTTACCATCACACCCTAAATATGGCTGTAACATGAAGCATGGTCAGAAACATGAACTTAGCTTTACTCCTGTATCCCAAAATAGCAGGCTATTGCTTGTACTTAGCTGACAGGGCAGAGACACACCGCAGTCGAGAGGGATGCTGAATGGATCCCTCTGGCTGCCAGAGCCAGGAGCGCCCATCCCCTCCCCAGGCTGTAGCTCCAGACAATGCTGGAGAAAGAGGGGGGAGCAGAAACCAAGAGCTGGCTGATCAGAGGTCATGTGACCTGTCAGTTCTTGGTCTTAAGAGGTGGTGTCAGACATGAAACAGACCAGACCACTCGCTATGTTATTTATATAATTTCATTAGCATTATGCATATTACGGTATAAGTTATACTCAATTTGCCTAAATGTTACGGAAACCGGTCATGCTGCTTACTTTTTGCTATAAAACCTTAAGCTGCTGTTCCACCTCTACACTACATGTCCTACCCAATAGCACATACAAGGGTATCTATGTTCAAAAACTAAAAATAAATATGTATTTCTATATTGAATTTCCATAAGTTCTATCCCACTCCTAATAACCATATCAATCTAGAAGTTTGTAAACTTACTTATTGAAGATGCACATAGGATGTACTTCCTCAATGTACTGACACAATTGCACTCAGGTCTGAGATTATGCACTTTGTGTCACCACTCCCAGAGAGCCTGCTGCATGAACTACAACATCTGAACTTCCACCAATGTAACATCGCTTGCAGGAAGCAATGCATGATGGGGTATGTAGTATTGAGATGACATCACGTCATGCAGTAGGGAAAAAGGGACACAAAGCTCACTGGGAATCCAGGAATTGTTGAAAGCAATGGGCAGATGGAAGACAGCACTCACTACATAAAAGTTTTTTTTTGTACCAAGTAAGCTTTGATTACATTATCAAAAACAACTATAGTATGTATTCCTATTACGAATCTGATGTTATAACAGGATAGTGTATGCTGGGAATTTAGAACTCATTTAACTTATTAATTTATTGTTCTGGCTCAAAAATGCTCAATTTGAATGTATTTTTAATTCTTAGATTAGTTCACACAAAATGATTCCAAAAACTCTTAGACGAAGTAATCGCTGACATTTTGTTCAAATGGTTACTAAACATCTAGAACATTTTTAGTTTCTTGAAAAACAGTGCAAAAGTGTCAGAATGCTGGTAAAATGCTCAGAAAACAGGAGATAGTAGTAAACCACTTTCTGAAAACCATCTACTAACTGCTTCCAATATTTTGAATGGAATGAGCACAAGAAGTCATAAGCAGCTGATGGTCAAGGAATGCTGCCAGAAGTGTCTCAGTGACCAGCTGGCAAGCACAATCACCGCCTACCAACATCACAGCCATTGATTTATAATACAATGTGCAAATGACAAGCACAAAAGCCTATACTCACCCTGAGTATAGAAGTGGGCCTTGTATTTCCCCATTCTCAGAGCAAAGATGCCACGGTTTGGATCAATATTGGGTGGGTAGTAATAAAAGGTGTTCCTTGGACTCTAAAAGAAAAAGATGCAAGGGAAAAATTATAATCAGGGTTCAGTATGGTACAGTATTTGAAGGGGGGGGGGGGGGGGGGGGAGAGAACACCAACA